CATCGGGCTCCCTGCTCCTCAGGAAGCCTGCCTCTCCCTCTTCCACTCCCCCTGCTTGTGTTCCCTCTCACGCTCTCTGTCAAAAAATAAATAAAATCTTTAAAAAAAAAAAAATGTTGAATATATATAAATGCTTCCCACTCCAAAAGGCTCTCCAATGTTCCCACCAACCAGATCTCTATGTATGGTCTTATATGTACCTGGATCTCACTGCGGAGTAAATCCCAGAGGACTGGGTTGATTAGTTTTACTTCTAGTCTTTTACAAAGACCCTGGAGATTTCATCAATGTACTCACCCAATTCCTAAAAACTACTACTTAAAATATTCAATATTTTAAATTTAAACCTAATTTACTAGATGTAAATGAATATAACTCTAAGAGGCTCTCTATATCATAAAAAGATTTTTATTTTATTTTTTAAAGATTTATTTATTTATTCAGAGAGAGCGAGCGAGAACACGTGTGCAGAGGGAGGGGCAGAGGGAGAGAGAGAATCTCAAACAGACTCCACGCCCATCATGGAGCCTGACATGGGGCTCGATCTCGCAACCCTGAGATCATGACCTGAGTCAAAACCAAGAGTTGGATGCTCAACCAACTGAACCCTGGCACCCCAAAACAGTTTTTTTGTTTAAATATGAAAAACTTCTCATGAGACCTAATTTTAACTTTACCTTAACCACAGTGAAAAAAATTTCATTATAAAAAAAAAAATGTTTAACACTTAAAGGGATGATGGCTAGCTAGATTCTTAAATAGAGGAGAAATTTCCAAAAGGAGAAGGTGAAAGGCTGGAAGACTACAGATTTTTTTAAAAAGGCACATTCAACACATATTTATATTGGGAAAACAAGAAGACTGTTGAGGAAGGGTGAAAGAAAGCAGGCTGCAAACCTCTGCTCTGGAGGAATATGTTTTCATTACTCCTATTCTCATTATACCTATTTCATGTTAGGGATCTGTAGTAAACCATTTTACCATTTAATTCTAAAATCATAAAATTCTAAAAAGTGGTAAACCATTTTACCATTTAATTCTAAAATAGTGCCAAATTTAATCTATTAGCAATAGACTAAAAAACCAGGCAGAAAACGGTGTTCTAGTCTAGTTCCAGCTTTATAAAATACCTTTCAAAGACACTTCATTCTGAGCATTTTTGAAAAGGAAAAAAAATCCAGCACAACTACTTTTTTCTCCTCTAAGAGCAGACTATTTTGCTGAGATTTTGTTTCATTTTTCATCACAGTTACACATGTAAAAGGAATTTAAGAAAAATAGGGCTGGCCTAAATCATACTATCAGAACCAAAGAGATAACGAGCCGCCCCCCCCAAATAAAAAATAATTTCGACATCCCCTTCCGGGGGGTGGGGATGAGAGAAGGGATACTGAGGGAAGGACCCTATGACATCAAATCTAAATAGGTATATACTTTTTCAATTTTACTATATTCATATGATTGACCTCACATATTCTGAACTGTTGAAAGCTAATTTTTTTTTAACAAAAAGAGGTTAAAATTTGTTGGACAAGTATTAAGCAAGCTTACCTTTCTGTTAAATAAACATTTTCTTCAATCAGATCAAAGTAACAGGGCATCTTCCCTTGCTTGGCATATTCTTTCCATCGCTGTGGGTCCCTGAAGTCCTCCATGACACAAGAAGGCCCAACCAGTGCTGAGCCTGGGGGCATTGCTGTTTCCCGCGGCTCTACCGCCACTCGAACTTTCTTTCTGTCCTGAAGTTCACCATCACTTTCAGAATCACTCTCCAATTCCTGTCTCCTTTTTTTAGGAGGCCCTCTATCTTTCATATCATTTTTTTCTAAGTTTTTTGAAAGATCTTTCTTTTCGTTCACAGCTAAAGAGTCCTTAATGGAATTGCTGCTTATTTCAGGTGCTTGCACTGACCCCTTGTCCTTCTGGAGGGATAGAAAAAACTTACTGGACTGGCTTGAAAAATGAGATCCTCCACGTTGATCCCAATTCTCCTCCTCCTCACGGTCATCTGTTAAGGAATCTGGTACCTGCCCTTGAATTCGATCATACACAACCCCAGTTCCAGGAGGTCTACCTGCTGATCTTGGATCCCAGTAGCCGTTGCCTTGCCAGTAATTACGTGTCCCACCATAATGTTCTGCACTTTGCTGATACTTGTGTCCACCACAGGCTCCATAGCTGCTGTCAGGCTGTTGATATGTGGTAGTAGGCTTTTCTTGTTGAGAGAATTCCCACCCTAGGTTTCGGAGCTCTTCTGATGAGCAGAAACCATCCACTCGGGAGATCTCACAAGAGGAAGAAAAACTCAACTCTGTTTTTCCCAATCTACTATCTGGCCTGTTAGGGAAAGTGATCTGTTGCCGAGACTTATTTGGGACATCTTCAAAATCATCAGAAGAATAAACTGGCAGCTCTTCTTGCTGCCTAGAAGCTATTTTGGCTTTTGTGGTTTCCTCAGAATTTGGATGACCTAGAAAGTCAGATTTCACATCTGTATGACTTGTACTATCAACCCCATCACTCTGAGGATGAGCAATTTCAGACAGGTGGTTATCTATTTGTTTTCTGCTGGGCTGTGTGAAAGAAATTTCCAGATTCTTTTCTGTCCCTTTATGATGGAAGAACTTCTCGGTTTGAGAACAGGGTTTGCTTGCTACACTCTCAAATTTTTCCTCATATGAATGTCTCCTTGACTCCAATCTCTCATCTTCCCAGTGGTCAGAATAGTGTCTGTAACTGTGACTGCTCCGAGAAGAACAAGGACTCGTTTCTTCCATGGGCAAAGTAGAATTCTTTGGCACTACCACAACAGACTGAAGACGGTTTCTTGGAATACTGCTATCATCAGAATCTGTATCTTCAGAGTCACTTTCATCACTTGAACTTTCAGAAGAACCAGAATAATCTTCATGGACAGTAGATACAATCTCTGAGGCATGCCCACTACTGTCACATTTTAAGGTATATGTTACACCATCACTGTCTTCCATGGTTAAATTCAAGTCACAAGAAGAAAATACAACTTCTGAATCATCAGAAGTATGCGCATGTCCTCTTCCTCTTTCTTCATCTAAAGAGATTTCTGCTCTTACTCTTCTATCAGGCAATATGGAATTCCCTTCTTCTTGAGCCTCTTGCACACATTTCCCAGATAACCCATTATTATGCCTATTTTCCCAAGAAGCAAATCCCCTTCCTGAATCAGGCAGGCCGCTACCTACTTCTACTATTGTTTCTTTCTCTGCATGCTTTAAAAACTCGGTGCTTTTACTCTTCAGCACAGCATCCAAAACTGGAGATGTGTTCTCTCCACATTGCAAGAGAGTTAAACTGTCCACTTTTATTCCTGGTGGAAGACTTGGAAGAGAGGAAGCAATGCCTGAACTCTCTATAGGTTGATATAAATCATCAAGATGATTAACAGAAGCTGAGCTAGTGCTACCAACACTCTTATACTCCTCAGATGCAAATTTTGAGTGCTGATCTGTCAGATTTCTATTATCACATATAACTGTTTTTGATTTCAAATGCACATTCATAAAGCTATTTGAAGAAATCTTCGTAACTGAAGGCTCAATCTTTTCAGCTTCAGAATGATGCAAAGAAGGGTTGTTGTCATTTGAAGTACAGTGTATATCTGAATCTTTGGTTTTATAGCAAGAAACTGTCATATCAACTGGTTCTTTAATTACAGTTTTAGAATAATCTATAGTCATAACTGGCAAAGACATGAGTTTATCTTGGTGTGGTGACACCGGAGGTTCTGCTTCTCTAAATGGGCTTCCTGACTTACTATGCAGCATGCAAGTATCATCCGAGTCTTTCTCTTTACATCTATTAATATTCTGAAATCCATTTGATGGAAGCTTCCATGCTTTGACCAAAGGGGATACCTCCGATCCAGTCACACTATCATCAGAAGACATCAAAAGAGTGTCAGTTTTAGAAGTGCAAAATGTTGCCAAATCAGATTCTGCCCCAGGAGATCCATTTATATTTAATTCTATGGGACAATAACTTCTTAATTGATCATTCTTCACTTTAGATAAAGAGTCTAATTCCTTAATACTATCATGGCTATCATGTCCTATAAATTCAGATTTAAAAATAAGTGATTCATCTAGCTTTTTAAAAGTAGGTGAATCATTTAATCGATTTGATGGAGATGGAGACCCAGTCTTTTCTCTTTCAGGAATTTTACTAATCATTCTTAATTCACTACCTTTTGAACAAGGAGCCTGTAAATTAAAAGAATGAGACGGTTTGATTTCCTCATTTAATTCTGTACAACAGAAAGAATTTTTAAATTTATCAGACTTGGATACAGATTTTGAAAGGGCAGATTTATAACGGGAAGCACTGTTATCATGCTTGGAATAGGATGACCCCCGTCGGAATCCCAGTTCATTAGGGGGAGAACAACATCTTTTCATTGCTTCATTTTCTGAAGTCCTTTTGGATTCTCTTTCTAGTTTTGAAGAATACTTTCCTCTCTTCTCCATCTCTAAGTAAGAGGACTCAGTTTTGCAGTCCCGATCAGATTTAGAATAGGATGATGATGTCCTTAGGTCTCTGTAAGAGAAGGAATGAGAGGAGGTGCGCCTTGAGTAGGTCTTCTTATACTCCTCTTCTGAGTCAGAACTCTCTCGAGCTCTGTTATCTGTATATGGCCGAGAATAGCGTGTCCTCTCTCGATAAGGGGAACTCCGATGGTAGCGACGATCAGAGTCGTAATAATGGGATCGTTCCGACCGGGAATAGGATAAACTAGTTCTAGAGCCTCTGTCAGATCTAGAACGAGATCTGCTCCGCCTTCGCTCTCTCTCTGATCTACAACGAGAAGATATATACCGAGTATCTCTTTCAAGTTTTGAGTAGCTAAAATATTTATCATCTCTCTCTGTTTTAGATCGTGAAGATTTCCCTAAATCCTCACTTTTTAAAGGTGCTAAGCTCTTTTTTGAATCTCTTTCCTTTTCAATGCTTGCTGAAAATTTTAAATCATGTGATCTTTGACTTGAGGAAGTCCGTACAGAATCTTCATCAGATTCTGAAGCAAGAAAGGTGCCTTCAGATTGTGAGGATTTCTTCTTAGAAACTGTTTTTTTGGAGCCCAGATTACTCTTAGAACTATCTGGAATTTCTTCTTCCTTCCCAATATGGGAATCTTCTTTCTGTAAGGGAATATCTACTTGCTCATTCAAATTTTGAGTTATGTGTTCTCCTGAACTATTAGATACAGCAGCATCCTGCTTAGTGTCCACTTCTGAAGATTCTGGTACAGTTGTAACTGGTGGTTCCTTCAGTGCTCTAACTGCTACATCTACTGGTGCTGTCATCAGAACTGGGACTGGTGTGTGTGGCAAGGCCACTGGCTCTGTTACTGGTGCTGGTGGTGAGGGTGCTGTGGCCTGGGGAGGTGGAGGTGGTGGAGGGGGAGATGAGGGTGGCGAGTCTACAGTTGTTGACTCTGCTATGACTGCTGGTAATGGTACTATGGGAGGAGGTGGAGAGGCCACTGCTGTGGCATTCGTTAGCAGCGGCCTGGATGTCACATGCAGCAGATGTTTCTTAAAATGAATTTTGCCCAATTCTACCCTTGATTTTGGTGGGGAAGATTCTTCTGTAGTAGATAAGGTATCTCCAATGTCCATTTTAATTTTAGGGGTCAAGTCTACTTGAAGAGGTCCAGCTGGGGAGTTTGGAGTATCATTTTGCTTTTCATTGTTGCCAAGTGCAGTCAGAAACCTGTTCTGCAAAGTTTTCTTTGTAAGGCTGAAGCTGAAAGACACCTTCTGTCGTCCCTGTTCCTCCAAATTAACTTTTGTCTTGGTGCCTTTGGGTAAAAATCGACTAGAAGCAACACCTTTGAACATCGGTCCTTTGATGAAACCTGTTTTCTGCACATTTTCAATCTTTGCCTACAAATGAACAAAACACGCAGTTACTACAACAATAAGTTACTTTCAAATGACTAGCATCACAGTTTAAAATGTCAGGAAAATGAAAAGTCCTTTTTAAGGACAGTATGAATTTCACTAAGCTAGATAAGCACTTCTTTATTATAGAAAATTTCAAACATACTCAAAAGTATAGAGGATAGTATAATAAATCCCTTAAGTACCCACTCCCAGTTTCAACAATTACCCATATTTTTTCTATTCTTGTCTGTTACACAAAGAATTTATCCATTTTTATAACTTTTTTTTTCCAGGCAGAATTTTTAACAAGAAAAAAAAATCCTATATACTTCAAGATACAACACAAAAAGACAAGTAGCTAGAGAGCAATAGCTAACAACTCAATGAGGAGAATAGTTTGTTCCTCTGTTCTGAGAAGAAACAGCAGAAGTCATCCTGGCATCACATAGCATCACTTAGGTGCTTGGTAAAATATGGATCTGCAACAAAACTCCAAAGAATAGAAATTCACTAGACCTAAGGGAAGGCAAGAATGTATGTTTTGTTTGGTTTTGGGAAATAAGCATTTGAGGCAATTCCAATGCACTTTCCAGATTTGAAAACCACTGGTATAGAGCAGTCTCCCATCTTATTTTATAGATGAGGTCAGCAAATGAGGACCAGACTTTTCTGCCTTCCTGTAAATTACTCCATCCTAGCACACTACCACTGTTTCTGCCTGGGCCCCACATACTCAGGTCATGCTAATTTACAGTCCAACCCTACTGTATGAGTATGAACCACAAAGTATACATTTGAGAAGATTTTTCCCTCCACTATTTGCCAAACCACCAAAGGAAATAGTGGGCTTTAGAAGTTAAAGGCATAACCTAGGTGGGTAGAGAGAACATCAGAAAAATCCACAGCAACACCACTCAAGCCTAAATTAAAGATGGTACACTGGCCATCTGCAACATTTTTCTAATTGATGTTCTTTAATCAACTTCGGCTGTTTAAGAGAACAGTTTTCCCCTTCAATAAGGTAAAATCTGAAATCAGTTTTCAACATTATACAGTAACAATTCAAGTGGGAAAGTAAATGTTTTCTCACACATTATCACAGAGCAGTCGTCTTCAAATACTTTTAAGAAACAGAATCCACCTGTCAAATGAAATCTTACATGGTAGCTCAATACATAAAAACAGGTAAATACTGTCTCCAGAGCTGCCAGTTTCCTCTACCTTGCCTAAAACTTTTGAAGCTCCAAAGTTTAAATACCCTTTTCTTGAGATATAAAATGTTCCTCACTGGAATGAGTTACTACAGATCCAAGAATTCAGCAAAAACTATTACTTCATTTCACATTCAAAATGATAGCTAGGGGTGCCTTGGATGGCGCAGTTGGTAGAGTGTGCAACTCTTGGTCTCAGGGTTGTTGAATTTGAGCCCCACATTGAGTGTAGAGATTACTTTAAAAATAAAAACTTAAAAAAAAAACCAGCTAAATTTTGAGTTATTGTGGGGTTTTTTTGTTTGAGAGAGAGAGAGAATGCACACACGAAAGCAGGGAGAGGGAGAGAGAATCTTAAGCAGGGTCCATGCCCAGCTCGGAGACCGACACAGGGCTCGACCTCACAACCCTGAGATCAAAGACCTGAGCCAAAATCAAGAGTCAGATACTTAACCAACTGAGCCACCCAGGCGTCCCATCAATTTTGAGTTTTTAATCCAATAATTACTGAATAACTAGTTAAATTACACTTACCTCATTTTCTTCTTCTCTATTGCCATCCAGCCAAGAAAGCATGCAAAAGAATAAATAGAAATCATAAATACTTAAAACCAAATGAAACCAAAGTTGTTTTTTATTAAAACCTAGGATACCTACAACCTATTCGACATGGTATTCAATTACAGGCTGTCCATTCCTTCAAAGTTTCAATTACATTTAGTATAGCAAATATTTATTGAAGATAGCACCATGTACTGTGAAATAAAAGGTGAATAAAGCAGAATCCCTGCCCTTAAGAAGCTTAGTGTCCTGTAAATACAAAATATACTTTTGTTACAAAAGTTAATTCCAACATAATAAAATATATACAAGGATAGAAATATGCACAGTGTAACAGCAAAGAGGGAGATAACTCAGTTTAGTAACTCAGTTTAGTAGAAAGACAGGAAAGCAAAGAATCCTTCCTAAAAGAGTAGTTTCTGAAGAATATGCCTATGGGGAGATCCTAGGCAGAGGAAGATTCTCCACAAAGGCACAGAGATTAAAACATAGAACAACATGTACAAGAAAACTATAAACAGTTCAACATTACTTGAGTATGAAGTATAAGGCAGAAAGAAGCCAATAATTAGGTGAAGTAGGGGGCAGTAGCCAGGTCCAAAGGCCAGATTCTCATGAGGAGAAATATATTTTATTTTAGGAATTAGGTGTTCTCAGTCCTTTGTAGTGTCCATTCAACAGTCCCTTTGCTGAGTACAAGGTATACACTCTGTTCCACATCACGCCATGTGGCCCTCTGAGCACATAGTTATGTCCTAACAAAGCTAACCACACTGTGTCCTGAGACTGAGGAATCAAAAGCCAAAAGTCTGGTGTATACCAGTGCACCAAGGCATACTGGGGAAAGGGAAGCTACAAAAGGGCTTTAGGTTATGATAGCCAGATTAGTATTTTAAGCAGACCACTCTATGGGCTATATGGCAAGACTGGAATATAATAATCTGTTTTAAATGCCCCTTAAAAGAAATGTACAAAAACCCTGTCTCTAAATGTAGGCCTGACCATCATAATTCAGTCCATTCACCAATGTCTACGTAGCCATACAAAAACCAAGTAATGAAGTGGGGGTGGGGGGAGTTGACAATATATGGATGAGATGTGAATCAAGGTCAAGGTTAAACACTTTTTTCTACTCCAAAACCACTAAAAACTTCACAGATGCAATCTTAGAACAACTGTATTTCACTAATTCTGTGATGTACATTTTTCCCACATATAACACCTCTGCATCACACCATTAATAACATCATAGTTTGGCAGCATTTTTTCCTTTCTTAGTGGTTCATAAGATAGTTGTGTCTTGCAACCTATGACTTACTAGATTTGATTTAAATTAGTACCACGTGGAATTGTTTCAAGAATATAAAAGGTACCTGTACACATCCAAGCATTTAGAATGTCATTCATATTTGTACTCTCCTTTCCAGTGTACATTTAAGAACGTTCACGCTTGTCTGCATGGTACCCATCTATATCCATACAGAAGTGCTGGAAATACTGGGGTGGCCAGAACCCTTTCCTAAGCCTCAGCAGTTCTACTTTGGACAATCAAATGAACAGGATAATCCTGACAAACTATAATCAAGGTCATCACATGATCAAAAAGCTGATAAAACATTATAAATGTGGGATTCAGAGGTGGGGAGAAAATAATGGTCCATTTCAGAAATCAGAGAACTGCTTGACAGAGATAGCAAGACATTTCCCAGGACGTGATAATAAAATGTTTATAAGAAGAAGAATATAGGCATATGTACAGAAAATATGGGGGGCAATATAAAATTTTCTCATTGTAAAGGCATGTCACGTTAATAGAGAACGATCAAATTACAAACAAGCAAAAGGAAAAGTCCACGATCCAACAACCAGAGACAACTGCTATTAACACCTTGGTGTAAAGAGCCTTCCAATGCTTCTTCTGTGTACATGGTGGTGGTGGGGAGGAGAGGGATAAACACAGATCTTCCTTTTTAAGTATAGCAGTCATACCATACAAGCCACTCTGTATCTTCCTTCCCTCCCTCATCATAAATACAGCAGGTGAGCAAACAAGGTGTTTAGATCACAGAAAAAAAAAATGGAATCACTACAACAGATTAAAGGGAATGATCTTGAAAGAAGGGGATATAGATGAGTGAAGGCACAGTTAAATTTTTAAACAAAGCAAACATTCTTTTGGCTTCTGTTTCTCTCTCACATCCTCATTTGAACATTGAGAGAAGGAACAGGGCAAAATACTTAAACAAAACTCAAGTGTAAGGAATAGAAATGGAAGCGGACTATAATCCTCAACGTTGCTGCCCAAAGTTGGACATTACTAATTTGTAATAGAACTTGTCAGTACACTTATTCTACTTTTGCTGGAAGCATTAAACAATCTAGAAGCATCTAAAGGAAACAACTGGGGGCGCCTGGGTGTCTCAGATGGTTAAGCGTCTGCCTTCGGCTCAGGTCATGATCTCGGGGTCCTGGGATCGAGTCCCGCATCGGGCTTCCTGCTCCTTGGGAGCCTGCTTCTCCCTCTGCCTCTCTCTCTCTGTCTCTCATGAATAAATAAATAAAATCTTTAAAAAAAAATAAAAAATAAAAAAAATAAAGGAAACAACTGGTAAGTTACTCCAGCAAGTTGGGTGGGACAAGAGTGGTAGAAGGCAAGAAGATGAGAACTGAAGGCATTCCCAAGAAGACGTAAATGACTGACCTAGTAACCCACAGATAACAGAAGAGAGTGAAATCTAAAAGAAGATGATAAACTGAAAGAACAGGGTAGGGGCAAGATACTAGAAGCTTCAAAGCATAAATCTGCTGGAAACCAGAAAGAGAGGTAGAAGGGTAAGGTGAAAGAACTGGAAATTATGGTCAGAGCACCAGAGATGGGGTACATTTCCAGGAAATGACAACACCCAGCTGTGGCCATGGAAGCAGACTGCCATTTTTTGAAGCAGACTGCCTTTTTTGAAGCAACAAAATTGTGAGGCCACAATTAATAGCAAGAATCAGTCACAAATGTTTTTTAATAAAAGAACACTTGTTTTGGTAAATAGTATAAAATAATGTTGAAGGAAGGTTGACGGAACAAGGCTATGAAAGCCAGAGCTAGGAGGACAGAGTCCCCAGTATCCCTGCCATGAAAAATAATGAGGCATGCAAAAACAGCCATTTAATTCTCTAGCATAAGATCGTGCTAGAATGGCCTTATTTCTTCTTTTGAAAAGCTAATACAGAAGAAAAAACAGGAAGACTGAAGCCAGTTGTCTGTCAAAAATGTACAGTATAAATACCTGTAGCTTGCTGAAGAACTATATTTAAAGAATGTCAATTAATCCATGTCAGCATGACGACAAATCTCCATTAGGTCACAGGGCACATGTGGAAAATGAATTAAGAGATACAGGCATAGCAAGTACAAAGAACCAATGAATGACATGATTATTAAAATCAATCAACTAACTACCCGATCTCTCTGGTTAGGACACTAGTAAAAACTAAAGTTTCCAGGGGTACCTGGGTGGCTCAGTCGTTAAGCA